CTTTTGACTTGCTGCCACCTGCCTCTTCTCTCTGAAATGAATCCTGTCCTGATCATCACCTCCTTGCTGACAGGGCCATTAAGTACAGTTCACACAAACAAGCCACGATGCCTTGAAGTTGAGCCTGGGAGGTATGTTAAGGGAGCATGGAGCCAGCCATTCTACTGATGGGGAAACTGAGACAAAGAAAAAGGAAGTGACTTGCCGAGGCTCAGGCAGTGAGCCCAGGAAAGACCAAGACTGAAATCTGACAGTCAGGCCAAGGTTTATACACACACACACACACCCCGCCCACAATTTGAGTTACTCTCAAATGTAGATATCTGTGGATTGAACAACAAAGGGTTTTGTTTTTTGTTTTTTGTTTTTTTTCCCTGAGCCAGAGTCTTGCTCTGTTGCCCAGGCTGGAGTGCAGTGGTGCGATCTCGGCTCACTGCAACCTCTGCCTCCTGGGTTCAAGTGATTCTTCTGCTTCAGCCTCCTGAGTAGCTGGGATTAAAAGTACCCGCCACCACGCTTGGCTAATTTTTGTATTTTTAGTAGAGACAGAGTTTCACCATGTTGGCCAAGCTGGTCTGAAACTCCTGAACTCAAGTTATGTGCCTGCCTTAGCCTCCCAAAGTGCTGGGAATTACAGGTGTGAGCCACCCGGACCACAACAAAGCTTTTTGAATAGAAGTTCTTGGAATGTGGCCTCTTGTTAATGTGTAGGCCCATCTGTTGGGGTAATTTGGGGATTATGCCTGCTCTAGCTGGCTTTACCAATGAAATGTTTTCTCCTCTCTGTCTTAGTTTTTTCACCGGTAAGATAGGAAGAGTTTATTATCTATGTCAGAGGGATTCCTCTCAACCTCACTCTCTATCTCAGGGCAGGGGGCAGGGGAGGGTGGGGAAGGAGGGGAGTGGTGAGCCAGTTCTCCAGCCAAGCGCAGAGACTGGCTCATACCCGCAAGTACACACAAGGTCCTTTGAGCGACACACACAGGCTGACACATCACTTAAGGGGGCAAGAGGGGGGCAGGCAATGAGAGTGGCAAGCAGTGGGGAGCCCCCAGGTGAGGGCAAGCCCAAGGAATAGAAGGGCGGCCTCATTTTTTTTTTCTTTTTTTTTTTGAGATGGAGTCTTGCTCTGTCACCCAGGTTGGAGTGTAGTGGTGCAGTCTCGGCTCACTGCAACCTCTGCTGCCCAAGTTCAAGCAATTCTCCTGCCTCAGTCTCCCTCGTAGCTGGGACCACAAGCTCACACCACCACGCCTGGCTAGTTTTTTGGTATTTTTTAGTAGAGACAGGGTTTCACCATGTTGACCAGGCTGGTCTCGAACTCCTGACCTCAAGTGATCTGCCTGCCTCAGCTTCCCAAAGTGCTGGGATTGCAGGCATGAGCCACTGCACCCTGCCTGAAGGGTGGCCTCTTGACCTCCAGTCCTGGAGCCCATGAAATTGGGCAGGTACTCACACCTGGGCATGGGTTAGATGGGCGTGGGTCCCTATTAACTCTGAGCATGAGCTCATGTGCACGTGTGTATATGTTTATATATGGGTGCCTTCATTGTATGCACAGATACGCCTGATTATCCATGTGCGTGCATAGGAATGACACCCTCTGTCTGCTTGGAAATGAGACTCCAGAGTTACCCCAGCATGATGCTCACTGCCTCATTTTTTTTTTTTTTTTGAGACAGTGTCTCCCTATGTTGCCTAGGCTGAAGTGCAGTGGCATGATCACACCTCACTGCAGCCTCAACCACCCAGGCTCAATTGATCCTCCCACCTCAGCCTCCTGAGTAGCTGGATCTACAGGTGCAGGCCACCACACCTAGCTAATTCTTGTATTTTTAATAGAGACAGGGTTTTGCCATGTTGACCAGGCTAGTATCGAACTTCTGGGCTCAAGTGATCCTCCTGCCTCGGCCAAAGTGCTATGATTACTGGCCTGCACCACTGCGCCCAGCTCCGCTGCCTCTTTTTACAGCCCACTGGCCCAGACCAGGGTCTCAGAATACTAAACCCACTTTCTGGGGCCAGGGTCAGTAGATGGCTTTGCTGCTGTGTGATTCTAAGCAAGTATCTTGACCTGCGTGTGCCTCAGTGGACTTCAGTTTCCTCACCTATAAAATGAGGGGTTTGGATGAGTTGAGGTCTGAGGTATCCTCCAGCCCAGATAATAAATCTTTGTAGTGGACAGGAAGAATGGGTCCCATTGGTTTCAGGAGGGGACTTCCATGGGTACCTGTGACTCTACAGAGAAATGGAAGACTGAGATCTGACTTGGCAGCCTAGAAATGGGGTTCAGCTAATGCTGGGAACAGAGTCCAGTCACTTAGGGTACCAGAGTGTAGCCAAGAGCCCCCTTTTCTGGGCTTGGGGAACCAGAACCATGTGCTCAACAGACCATTGCCTGTACACAGGGCAGAGTGCAGGTGTACATTCCTGAACCAGCCACCCTTCTTAAGCTTCAAGCTATAACTACTGAGCCTTTGATGAAAGTCTACTCTATGCCACACCCCCACAAGCTGGGTGGGGGCAATACATGGACAAAGACCCTGCCCTTGGGATGCCAACCATTCACTTGAGAAGACATACACACATACAATGAGTGATCATCATTTACTGTTTACTGAACAAATAAATGACTGTCCATCAAGGTAGCCATCAACTGGTAGGAAGGAACAAGGAAGGCTACCTCGAGGAAAAAAGGGTAAGTAGAACCTCTCTCTCTCTCTCTTTTTTTTTTTTAAGAGACAGGGTCTGGCTCTGTCATCCAAGCGGGAATGCAGTGGCTTGATTATAGCTCACTGTACCTAAACCCAAGTGATCTTCTTATCTCAGCCTCCTGAGTAGCTGGGACTACAGGTGCATGGCATCTGGCTAGTTTTTTCATTTTTTGCAGATAACGGGTCTCGCTATGTTGGCCAGGCTGTTCTTAAACTCCTGGCCCCGAGCAATCCTCCTGCCTTGGCTTCCCAAAGTGCTCGGATTATGGGTGTGAGCCACCACACCTGGCCAAGTAGAATCTTGAAGACAGGAAAGATCTGGATTTCAGAAAGTTCTGAAGAAGGCATTCCAGGCAGGGGAAACAGCTTGAGCAAAAGGGTGGAGGTGGCAAAGTCCCATAGAGTGAACGAGGAGTTTGACTTTAGCACAAGATGCATGCAGGAGAAGGGGAGGTGAAGCTGGACAGAACTGGGGCTGGAGCATGAGGGGCATGAGTACTGTGTTAGGAGTGTGGGGCTTTAGGAGCCACATCAGGTTTTAGAACAAATAAGTGGCTTGACAGGAGAGATGTGTTAGGGATTATTTAGTTAAAGTCAGCAAGTAGGTCTGAGAGGGTATGAAGTTAGCAGGAAGTGGCTGTGATGGGCAGAGGCTCAGAGTTGCATGGAATGAGGACACTCTGGGTATAACACTACAAGGGCCACAAGGCGACTCCCCTCTCCACCCCTCAGCCTCAGGTTATTTTTTTCTGGCTTCTTCCTCTGTCCCTAGGGTTAAGGAGTCCCTTGGGGGTTTCAGATGAGGCTGGGACAGAGTTTTATCACTAGTGCATTAACCTCTGACCTAGGTCACCTCTGGCCTCCTTTTGGGCTAGATGGGCAGTTCTCAGACCCTCCCCCACCAGCCCTGCTGTGCTGACCTAGAACCTCTGGCCCTGGAGATTCTGATATGTGTATTTGTGGTCTCTTCTCAGGCATCTCCCAGGCCACTGGGAGAGCTGGGGCCTAGAACATCGGGTGGGCGGAATCCTGAGGGCAGAGAGTTTGGAAGAATCTTACAATGGCAGCTCTAGAGGGAAGCCTGGATATGTTGTTTGACAAACTGAGACCCAGAGAGGTAACATGACTTGAGGTCACACAGCAAGTCTAGGGCACCGACAGGACTGAAAGCCAGGACTCTGGGGAGCCTGAAGCGTCCTGAGGTTTAGACCATCTGGTGCATGTAGAGAATGGAGAGGGTCAGGGCTGGGAGCTATAGGTTCAAATCCTGGCTCTGCCATTGACTGTACTTTTGAGACCTAGGAAAGTCAAGCTCTGTGAGTCTGTTTCCTCAGCTGTAAAACGGGGAAAATATCCACCTTTTGGGGTTGTTGTGAAGATAAAAAAAAACACACATAAAGCACCATAGCACAGGTCGTGGCACACAGTAAGTGTTAAATACATGTCAGCTAGTGGTATGGTGGTGCAAAAGTAGGTGCCTAATAAATGTTGAATGCATTGTTGAATATGAGTTCACACACTAACAGTGAGATTGTGAGACTCAGCTTCCCCACGTGTAAATCAGGACTCCTAATCAGCCCCTGTCCTGCCGCTTCTGTACAGCCCCAGTAGCAACGTGGATTAAGGAAGGTGTGAAAACGTTCAAGTGCAGAGCCCTCTCAGGTCAATGTTTACTCAGCACAGGGCAATTCCTCTCAAGTCCTACTCTGCGAAATTTCCCGTCAGCTTCACTAACTTCTCTACATTCCCAGATGCTCCCCCGGAACCGGGGATGGGGAATGTCCCTCTTCTCTCAAGCCTGCAGAGCTGAAGAAAAACCGGGGTGGGAAAACAAAGTGTGTAGGGCTGAGGAGCTGAGTCCGAGGAGGGAGGGAGAGCAGGGAGAAGGGCAGTGGGGAGAATGGAGGTGCACAGACGTGGTGTGGATCGAGAACAGGGTCCGCATCGCGGGACTTGGACATAGGATGCAGTGAAAGGATTTGGGGAGCAGTGGGAGAGGTGAGGGTGCTTCGATCCGGGAAGAGTCAGGAAAATGAGGAGCCGGTAGGAGGGAGTGGAGATCCTCCTCGCGGAGAGCTCGCCGCGGCACAGGGCTCCCAGCTCCCCGCAGCTGCCTCCCCGAACACTCACCCTCCCGGTTCCGAGAACGTTTCCCGGCCCGAGCGCCCGGCCCGCAAACCGGGAGGGGAGGGGCAGGACGGGGGGGGGGGATCCGCAGCCCGGGATTGGCCGCCGCCCCGCTAGCCGGTGACGCGAGGCGGGCGGGCCTCTTTGTGACATCACAATCAGCTGTTTGAACGTTCCAATTTGTGCCGTGAGCCCCGCCGCAGCGGCGGCACAGACTCAAAGCCCGGCGGGCGAGCTCAGCAGCCCGGAGCGACCGCGGCCCCGCCGCCTCCCCCGCGAGCCCCCGCGAGCCCCCGCGATGCGGCCTGGCCTGTGAGCTGCCGGCGACCCTGGGACGCCCCGCCGCACAACTACCTCAACGCCGTGCCGCCCCCCTCCCGCCCCCAGGTGAGTCCCGACCCGGGTGGGCCTAGGGGGCTCCCCCGCCACGGACACGCCTTGAGCCCCCCGCGCCCGGGCCTTTGTCTCTCTCCGCCGGCGGCCGCCGGGGCCGCGTTCCCGGCTCTCAATTGGTTGCCGCACGCCCGGTAGACCATGACGTCGTTCTATTTGCATATGACATTGAGACGTCACCAAGGCCGGCACCGCCCCCACAGGCTCGGGTCGCTTGTCCTCCCGTGACCCGGTAGCCGCTGTGTCGGGGCTGGGCCCTGGGTGAGACGCTGCAATCCAAAGGGGGCTGCAGGGGGTCGGCGATTTCCTAGGGCTAATCCAGGGGCTGGGGTCAGGCCTCTGATCCCCTACTTTCTCTTTGCAACCTGAGAAGGAGTCAGACGGTGCTGCTGGGCCTAGGTCGAGGGGGTCGTCAGGAGTTCGGGGCTACCTTGGACTCCAGGTGGTTGGGACAGCACCAGATGGTGGTGGGATCCCCTCCCTCCGGCTCCAGACTCCGCCCCCAGGGACTAACAGAATAACATCCTCCTAATCCCTGATTTGTGTGCAGCGCCTTAGCTGATGTCACTCCCAGACCCAAAATGAGGGGTCTTAGACCCCAGTTCATGGAAGGGGCAACAGGCTCAGAGAGGAGAATTAGCTCACTCGAGGTCACACAACCAATTAGAGTCATGCTCACTGAGTGACAGATGCATTATTAGCCAGGGGCATAGACATAATAGAGGCTCAATACAAGTGGTAAGGTACACATCTTCCTTTCGCTGGGGACCTGATCTTGGGCTCAGCCTCATCACGGTTTGATAGGCTCCTAGGTCTCCTTACTCCTGGACCTTTTTCCAGGGAATCTCTGCAGATTGGTTCACGTTTTGTGGTCCTGACCCCTTCTGTCCTCACTGTACCTTGGAGTCCTAGAGTCCAATAAAATCGCTGCCTCCCAGCTGTTTGGATCACAGAGAGGTGAGTCATTGGCTGCCTCGGGGTGTCTCCAGGGCTGATGTTGGGGTTGGAGGGTGGGGTGAGGGTTCCCTCTATTGGCCCTTTACCTCCCCAACTTCCTAGGTTGTCAGCTAGGAAGGGCCTGACCTGGCCTAGTGCAGACAATTCCAAGTGTTTTGCTGCTCCCTCCTCACCTTTGCCCAGAGAGTATAGGAAAAGGGATAGGATAAGGAGAGTTTCTGACTTAAGTGGATGGGCCTAGAGGCTGAACCAGGAACTCCATTCCTGCTGGGAGTTTGCTCAAGGATGGGCTGGGGGTAGGGATGGCTTAGGGCATAAATGCTATTCTGGGCAGAGCTGCTGTAGTTATTAAAGGGAATGGTTCTCCCTGGAGCAGAACTGGGAATGTGAGAACCTGGAAGCTGGCAGGGCTGGGAAAGGAAATCTGGGAGGCTTCCCAAGTGGTCAGGAGAGGGGGCAGGCACTGGCTGGCTGGTGCTGCTGTCACTCCTGGCTGTCACTGACTTGCTGTGTGACCTCAGACAGGGAGCTTCTCCCCCGAGCCTCCCTCCCCTAAACCTATCTGAAATTTGAGGAGGCACAGTGCAGGCTCTGGTACACAGTGGGTCTTCAGGAAGTGCATGCTAAATCTTGGTGCCAGTAACCCCAGACCCTTTTGTAGCTAGGCGAGGGGTGGTGTGGCTAGGTCAAGGTCTTTTTCACCTCCCTGTACCCCTGCATCATTGTATTCTTGGGGATTGTTTGCTGAGTCTTTCCTGACATCCTCCTAATCTGGACTGGATGCACAGTAATGTGGGACTAGGACTGCCCTGCCACTATCTAGCCATGTATTTTTGGATAGATTATGTCTTCTTTCTGATCATCACATTGTAAAATGGGCTGGGTGAATATGATGGTCCCTGAAACAGCTCTTAACTTCTCTTTCATATTCCATGAAGTAGTAGGTTCTTGGAAGGAGGATGTGCCTCATTAAGGCCTTGATATTCCCTTCCTTCAAGAGGGGCCAAACTTTCTGGGCTTTTGGCAATGGAGTCACCAGCTCCCTGTGGCTACAGATGGGTTGGGATACATGAATTGTGCTGGGCGGACACTAGTTGGGGGTGGCGCCACCTTCTTAACCCTTGTAGATCTCCCACCCCCATCCCACCAGGGAAGCCAGCATCTTGAGCCTCCTGTGAGTCTGCAAATGTGGAAATATTCTCAGGGTATGGAAGTGAGGTGATTCTGCAGCAAGTGTGAAAACACTTCCAGGGAATGGGGGAGGTAGCAATAAGCATGGCAATACTGCAGGTGGATTAGCAGAAAGAGGAGAAATACCTCCAGGGAAGTCTGGACCTGCCCCCAGGAAGTTCTACAGGAAGTGTGGAAACACCCTTAGAGAATGGTGACAAGTGGCTCAGCAGCAAAACCATTGAGCATCTTTAGGGAACAGGTGTGGAGAGTCAGTCAGGCTTCAGGTACTGGGGAGTATGGCCAGCAGCCCCCAGCCAAGCTCTAGTCCTGAGGTAGGCTGGCATGGGGAGGGGGTAGATCTAGAGCTACCACCTTGGTGTTTCCATTTCTGGAGTAGGGGGCCTCTCTCTTCATCTTCACCCAGGGAAGGATTGGTTAAGGGCTTGCCTGGGTCTGGGTCCAACCCTCAGTGCTCATCCTGAAGGGCCCCTGGAAACTGACAGCTCCCTTCCTCCATCATCGCCTCCCACTGACCTGCTGTCTCCCTGAGCCCAAGCAACCTGATCTTCCTCCTAGCCTGGGATGCTGCCCTTGAACAGGAGCCCAGGAAAAGGGGGTCAGAGGGGGGAGGGCCTGCCATCTTTACACCTCATATGACAGACACAACCGAGCCATGCCAAATCACATGGTAAGATGGTAGCAGTTCTATGGGATTTCTGCTGGCCAGTGCTTTTCAAACCACACAGGCTCCAGGAGTGGTTCTTAGTCTCTCGGGTCAAAGATTGCTGTTGAGGAAATCATGATGAAAACCAAGGTCCTTTTTCGCAGAAAAATACACATGGACCATGACCCCTGTCCACCAAGTTGAAAATATCAAATTCAGACAGACACCCAGAAAAGGCAATAGAATATGGTGATTCTGGGTGCTACCTCTGGAATCTGATAGTGTGGATTCAAATCCCACCTTTGTCTCTTACTAGCTGTGAGACTTTGGGAAAGTTAACTTCTCTGTGCCTCAATTTCTTCAACTGTAAAGTAAGGATAATAATTATCTACTTCCTGTAGTTGTTGTGAGGATTACATGAGGTAATGTAGGTAAAGCTGCTTAGTATAGTGCCAGGAACATAAATGTTAGCTATTATTATTATTATTATTATTGAGACTGAGTTTTGCTCTGTCACCCAGGCTGGAGTGCAGTGGCGCCTTTGCAGGTTCCAGTGATTCTCCTGCCTCAGCCTAGGATTACAGGCACCTGCCACCACGCCCAGCTAATTTTTGTATTATTAGTAGAGATGGGGTTTCACCATGTTGGCCAGACTGGTCTCTAACTCCTGACCTCAAGTAATTCACCCACTTCTGCCTCCCAAAGTGCTGGGATTACAGGCGTGAGCCACCGCGCCCGGCCTAGCTATATTGTGATGATAACAAGCAGACAGTATGGGCAATTTCCTCCCTGCCTGGAGAACTCCTGTTTACTCCTCAGAGTCCAGCTTGGATGTCCAATTCTCTGGAGACCTTCCCTGGCAGAGCTGTGTCATATGTCATTCTATGTTCCTAAAGCACCCTGTAATAATAACTATTAGTTTGTTGAGTGCTTACCGTATGCCCAGACATAGTTCTAAGCACTTTATAAGTGTTTAGCTCATTTAGTTCTTTCCCCCCGCCTTTTTTTCTTTCAATAACTTTGATATAGCTCATTTAATTCTTATTAGAGCCTGGAGGAGGATACTATTATTAGCTTATTTAATTCTTATAAGAGCCCGGAGGAAGGTACTATTATCATTGTCTTTTGACAGATGAGAAAACTAAGGCACAGATAAGTTAAATAACTTCCTAAAATCATACAGAAGATTTAAAAAAAAAAAAAACAACCAAAACCTAGATTTGAATACAGAAAGCACATATCCTCAAAGTGTCCGCACATATCCCTGTTGTGTGTACCCTTCTGCCTGCTCTGGGGGTGGTATCTTCTGTCCTCTGCCCCAAGCCAGGAGTGGGGTGAACTTCAATCATCTCAACGTCCTTCTATGATTCCCAGGTTTTTGCACTGCCATAGGGTGCCCCCGTGAGGCCACTTCGCCCCCCACCATGTTCCAGCGCCTCACCAGCCTCTTCTTCAGCACCCCCTCGCCGCCTGAAGACCCCGACTGCCCCCGCGCCTTCGTGTCGGAGGAGGATGAAGTGGACGGTTGGCTCATCATTGACCTGCCGGGTGAGGTCTGGGTCTGCCTCCTGGGCCTGTGAAGTCATTCTAAGGGCAGATGGCCGAGCAGAGGGGAAGGGCGCTGCTGGAGGATTGGGGAGTCCCCCAAGCCTACTGGAGGTGGGGTCACGGGACCCCTTACCATGAGAGGCGGGGCCCTCTCCTGGCGGCCCAGGAGAGGACGCACGTCAGGTCCCCTAGGGCAGCAGGGCGAGACTTCTGGCCCGTGGGTGCCCCGGGGAGCTGCGGACGGGCTGCGGGTCTGACTAACGATGCCCTTTCTCTCCCCGCCCCCTTGTCCGGTGTGCGTGTGTGTCCCTCCTCGCTGCTCCCCTCCTCTGCACGGCTCCCAACCCGCGCCCCTTAGACAGCTACGCGGCTCCACCCAGCCCCGGGGCCGCCTCTGCCCCCGCGGGCCGCCCTCCGCCCGCGCCCTCCTTGATGGACGAGAGCTGGTTTGTTACCCCTCCCGCCTGTTTTACTGCAGAGGGGCCTGGACTCGGTCCCGCCCGCCTCCAGAGCAGCCCCCTGGAGGACCTCCTCATCGAGCACCCCAGCATGTCCGTTTACGTCACCGGCAGCACCATAGTGCTGGAGCCCGGGCCCCCTTCCCCGCTCCCGGACGCGGCCCTGCCAGACGGCGACCTCAGCGAAGGGTGAGCGAGCCGGGGGCGGAGCCTGGATGCCCAGGGAGACGGATCTTGGAGGCCAGGGTCCAGGCCAGGAGGCTGGGGTAGCGGGCCAGCCCGGCCCCGCGCTCGAGGGGGTAGCGGCCTTGGGAGAGTTGCGTTTGAGACAAAGTAGGGGGCCCGTGAGCCGCAGGGCGAGGCTAGAAGCGGGCCTGAGGATGGAGGGGCTGGGCTGTTGGGTGGGAGAGGCGTGGCTTTGTGGCCGGGGCGAGGCTTGGGAGGGAGGGGCGTGGCTAAGAGGCCGGGGCCGGATTTGGAGGCTTGAGGAGCGTGGCTGGAGCGTCTAGGGAGTGGGACTTAAACAGAAAGGCAAGGGTGGAATGGGGAGTGGGGGGTCCAGTCTTCCCCGAGGTCTGGTTTACCTGTTATGGGCTAGAACCGAGGAGACACCTCCGGGTTGGCACCCACAAGAAGGGCGTCGGGCACCCCAATCTGAACGGACGCAACTGCACCAAAGCAAGGGTGGGAGATGGCAGCGCCCCCTAGCCCCCCCACCCGGCTTACCCGGCTTGACCGAGCCTCGCTCTGTACCCACAGGGAGTTGGCGCCCGCCCGCCGCGAGCCCCGGGCCGCGCGCCACGTCGCTCCTCTCCCAGCGCGGGCGGCGCTGCTGGAAAAGGCGGGCCAGGTGCGGCGGCTGCAGCGGGCCCGGCAGCGGGCGGAGCGCCACGCGCTGAGCGCCAAGGCGGTGCAGCGACAGAACCGAGCCCGCGAGAGCCGTCCGCGCCGATCCAAGAACCAGGGCAGCTTCATCTACCAGCCGTGCCAGCGCCAGTTTAACTACTGAGCGTCCACCGGCCGCGCCGCGAACCCCTTGCTGACTCCCGATCCCTGTCGGGCTCCTCCGACGCCTCGGGCTGGACACCGAAACCTCCCTTCTTAAAGCGTGTGAGGTTAGGTGATAGCCGACACCCTCAATATCCCCATCTCTGATCGTCTAATCTGCCTCTGAACCCCTTCAAGCCCCCTTCACCCTCACTCCTTCTGGCCCCCATACCCAGCATCTAATCATCCATGCCCCCTACTCCTGACCCCTCCATCCTTTCTTCTCCGGTCCCCATCCCTGTCTTTCCCCTTCACCCTTGCCCTTCAGTCCTCTACCTCTGGCCCACCCCTATTTCTGAAAGCTTCTTCCAGTCCCTGATCTAGCTCATTCCTCACTTTCACCTCCCACCTTACATGAGTCACACTATCCCATGGTTGGCATTACACTTATTCCTGTTCCCTTGTTCTTCATTCCCAGTAATTCCCTCCCAAATGGTGGGGACCCTGAGCCCAGCTCTGACCAGCTAGAGCCTTTGCAGCCTGGGCTGCTGTCATTGCCCTCTAGTAAGGGCTCAGGGTTTTGCTAATTTTAGTCTCCCCTTCCTTCTGCCTTGGGGACGGTACTCTGTGGAGCTACTTAGGCCTGGAAAGGTACAGTATGTAGAAGAGGACTGTGAGATGTGAGTTAGAGGGAGAAGACGGAGGGAATCTAGGGAACGAGGCAGCCTATTGGAGATGCGGACAGGACAGACACGTTGAGAAGCTGCAGGGAGCAGGGCACCAAGGGAGTGTGCACTGTGCTTGCTCAGAGAGGCCAAACCCTGCTCCCAGGCTGAAGCCTGGAGTCTGCCCCCACTTCCCTTTTCTATAATCCACCCTTGTGCAGGTCCCGGAATCTGAAGGGCTTAGTCAGTACCTTGCCACTCTACCCCTGACATGTCACCCGAGTAGAAGCTGGGCAAGGCCCCACCATCCTGGCCATCTTTTCACAAGCCCAAGGTGCTAGAACTAGCTTAGGAGACATGCAGGCCACACGGCTTCTAGGCAGGGAAAGGGCACACACTCTAGGTCAGCATGCAGAGCAGTGATGCTGGAGGACACACCATGGGGTGAAGTCATCCCAAGGCTGACAGCTCAGCTTTCACCTTGCCTCTGGCCTTGTATTTCACACCCTGCTCAGTATGGCTAGCCAGCAATCCTAAGTAGGAGTCCAGGACCCCTACTGTCCCAATCCGCAAATTGTTCCTATCCAGGTTCAGGGCCTTCAGGGGGCCTCTTTTCATTTTCTCCCACAGGCCTCTCTTTCTTTCTAGGTTGCTGGGGAGAGATGGGTGCCCTATGGTCCTCCTCCCCTCCTCCTCCAGTAAGTACCTGGAGGAGGGAACCTGAATCCCTGGGGGAGACAGACGGGGCAGGGGCCACCGGCCTCCCCCTTCTTGCGGTGAGACTGAATTTTGGGCTCAGACACCAGCAACAGCCTCCTGGGATGCCCCGAGTTGCTTCCCATTTCCTCTTTCTAGCCACCCTTTTCTAGTGTGTGCCCACTCTTCCTTGGAACTTTTAAGACTTCTTGGTACATATGAACATAAGTCCTCCACTCACCCCAACTCTAGGTTTCCAGGCCTCCCAGCCAAGCTGAGGCTTGGAGAAAACTCTGCATTCCCATGAGGGCAAAGGCAGCTGCCCTCCCTGACCCTCTAGCCCCAGGCCTCATGGGGGATATGTGGGGAAGGGATGGGGTATCCCCATGGATGCTAGGATGAGGACAGAGGAATACCTGATGGGGTCTCCTATTCCAGGGAATAAGCCAAATTAACACTAAAAACGGATCAAAGCTCCCACGCCAGTCCACTAGGGCCCCAGTAGTTGACAGCCTTGCTCCTCTCCCCAAGTTCTCCTTCAGTTACAACCTAGTTGCTTTTATTCTTCCAAAGCTACCACTTGGGCACTTCACAGCCAGCCTAGGGTCTTCGGCACCTCCAAGAGCTGAAACTCCCTCCAACCCTTCTTGCCTACTCCTCACTGCCAGCTGGGACCTAGGCTCAGTCCTTTGTGGTGCCCATGATCCTTCTGGTGGGGGAAGAGTTTAAGTTATAGGGCATTTGGCTCAAATTTTAAAAGGCCTTTTCTTTACATGTATTTCTGGAGGCTCCTGTAGTTCTAGAACCCAATCTCTCACGTGGCAGGTTGCAAGGCTATTTTTTTGTACCTTTCCTATAGATTCTGTAGCATTTGAGTGTGGCAATATTTTAATTGTGTATAGATTTCTAAAAACCAACACTACTCAGTCTCCTGCTAGTCTGACTCCTGAAGCATCAGCCCTTGTCATACTGTATTGACTGTGTACGTGCCTTTCACCTTGAGCATGCTTCAGGATTTTTTTTTTTTAAACCACAGAACTTGAATATATGAGGGAACCAGAGTTCAAAGTCCTATGCAACCTTAGGAGGGGGTTAGAGACTCTGTTTTGATCGATGTTTTCAGAGGCCCTAGAGTTTGTACCAGTTTGTGAGTATTAATGTCAGTACTACCAGCACTTTGCCAAAACTGTGTCAGAGGGACCCCTCTTTCTAGAGTGAGTCCCAGTTACATCAAAGAGTGACTTCCAGTTATTCCCCAGTTAAGTCTGAGTGGGTCCTTCAAGCTGGGTGTCTTTCCAGCCTTTGCCAGTCTAGTCCCAGCAGGGCACCGTGTATGAATGCAGTTTGGTGCTGTTTTAGAGTATGCCTGCTCCCCAGCCCCCTGCCTGGAACCTTCTAATCAACTTGCTCTGACCTATAATGTCTTAGGTGCAATAAGGACCCCATCAGAGCTCTTGGATACCCCCCTAGATCCATGTGGCTTTACATGAGGGGACTGAATGCAGACACACCATAGCCCCCTTCTACTACTTTCCCTCTCGCCCTGCCACCTAGTTCCACATGGAACCAACAAGTTGAGTGCATCCCTGTTGGATGTTTTGAGACTGGCTGAAATGAGGAGATTTTGACCATGTGACGTGTCAACAGACTCAAGGAAACAACCACCTCAACTGGGTCATGTGGCATGCCTGTGTGTGTGTGTAACAGAATTCTGATTGTTAGACTGTAATGCTATTCCTCTATGGGAGAAAAAAATTAATATAAAGAAAAACAAATAAAAATCTATTTAAAGCACATGATCCTTTCTGCCTGAGTTGAGCTTAAGTATGAGAAGCACTTTGTAATCTTAAGCACAGTAGTGGCATAGGATATTATGATAAAGCTGACTTTGGTTCTGGTGTGTGTGTCATGGGACAGGAAGAGGGGAGATAAGCTTACTGGGAACAGAGCCAGACAATGGGGTCTGACTCATAAATGACGACTATTAGGATCCTTATAATGCAACACGCATATATGAAGACAGCTGAAATAGAGATGAGAATAAGAGCATAACAGAATGACCAACTCATCCTTTTGGTTTCAGGCACTGGGTTAGAGCAAAGGCAAGGAGCCACTGGAGGGAAAGGATGAAGTCTAGCCCTAGGGGAGATGCAGCAGAAGGCTGAAGCCCAGGCTGAGACAAGGCCAGGGCCCCCAGCATCAGAGTCTCCTGAAAGTTGGGGGTAGGGTGGGGCAGAAGCAGCTGGCTTTGGAGACTACACACATTTTGAAGCAGGGAAGCCAGAGTGAATGAAATGTAGTGAACATCTCTGAAATATATAACACAAAATGACCCCTCTAATTTGGAAGCTGCTCCATCTATTTTTTTTTTTTTTTTTTTTTTGAGACAGAGTCTTGCTCTGTCGCCCAGGCTGGAGTGCAGTGGCCAGATCTCAGCTCACTGCAAGCCCCGCCTCCCGGGTTCACGCCATTCTCCTGCCTCAGCCTCCCGAGTAGCTGGGACTATAGGCGCCCGCCACCTTGCCCGGCTAGTTTTTTGTAGTTTTTAGTAGAGACGGAGTTTCACCGGGTTAGCCAGGATGGTCTCGATCTCCTGACCTCGTGATCCGCCCGTCTCGGCCTCCCAAAGTGCTGGGATTACAGGCTTGAGCCAACGCGCCCGGCCAAAGCTGCTCCATCTCACCACAGAACTGGACTGAAGGTGGAAACCTGACCTAAACTGGACTAGATTCTTTTTTTTTTTTTTTTTTTTTTTTTTGAGACGGAGTCTTGCTCTGTAGCCCGGGCTGGAGTGCAGTGGCCGGATCTCAGCCACTGCAAGCTCCGCCTCCCAGGTTCCCGCCATTCTCTGCCTCAGCCTCCGGAGTAGCTGGGACTACAGGCGCCCGCCACTGCGCCCGGCTAATGTTTTGTATTTTTTTAGTAGAGACGGGGTTTCACCGTGTTAGCCAGGATGGTCTCGATCTCCTGACCTCGTGATCCGCCCGTCTCGGCCTCCTGAAGTGCTGGGATTACAGGCTTGAGCCACCGCGCCCGGCCTCTTTTTTTTTTTTTTTTTGAGATGGAGTTTCACTCTCATTGCCCAGGCTGGAGTGCAGTGGTGCAATCTTGGCTCACTGCAGCCTCCGCCTATTGGGTTCTGTATTGCAACCTCCGCCTATTGGGTTCTAGCAATTCTCCTGCCTCAGCCTCCCCAGTAGCTTGGATTACAGGCATGCGCCACCATGCCCAGCTAATTTTGTATTTTTAGTAGTGACGGGGTTTCTCCATGTTGGTCAGGCTGGTCTTGAACTCCCGACCTCAGGTGATCCGCCCGCCTAGGCCTTCCAAAGTGCTGGGATTAGAGGTGTGAGCCACCACACCTGGCCCTGGACTAGATTCTTGATGCTGGCATAATCTTACAGGCCAGTCTGGGCTTACCTCCTGCACGGAAGATATGTAAGCACAATTGTTTTGGATCTATCCACCATGCATATGGAGAAGCAATGTGTGACATGGTGAAAAAGTGCTGTCTCAGCTGCTGACAGCTTCCTGTCCCTAGAAAATCCTGGGTGGTCATTGATCTCCTCTAAGTTGGTTTTGTTATTTGCATCAAAAGAAATTTGAGCAATATATATCAAAGTACCTGGCATAGTGCTGAACAGGGTTGGTTTCTTCAAAGCCAAGAATGAAGTGAGGGAGCAAGTATGTACATTTTCCTCAACTTGCCAGGCGGACATCTCAGGTGCGATGAGGACTAGATGGGAATTCCATTCACAAAGAAGGTTGTGTCTGCTTATTTAAGGTCCAAAGAAAGAGCTTATCACCCAAAAATCCCTTACCAATAACATAACTTTATGTTCTATGACAATGACATTTATTTAACACATTATTTCGCATTGTACAAATCCTTAGATTCTCTTTATTCACTGGTCCATTTCTACAACAAATACATCCAAAACACTATATAATAAAATTATTTACAACATTTCCAAATGAGAAGATTGCTTTTGCCCCCACTACTGCTATTCACACACAGTACTTCCACAGCACAATACGTCATTAGGAGATCTAAAAATGCTCACCCTGTACTCTAGGCTGCTTAGGAAATGTGAAAACTAATAACATTTATAATGGCATTAGCTCCTTTCAATACAAGACAACATTTTAGAAACCTTGAACTTCAACTCGCAACACCAAAAGGGCTCAACAATCCTGCTTTCCCCATTGCACTTTATGAAACAGGTTGCAGGGACTAGGAAAAGGGCCATATTATTAAAATTACTAACTGTACAGAAATTGATTTAAAAAAGTCACAGCTCAAAATTGCTCTTTGTAAAAGTCACACACATTTACAAGTATCAAGTCGCCGTCCTGCTTGTTTACTTGGATTTTCTTCGCTTGGATTGCACCGCACTGGTTATGTCTGTCGGGGGAAAGAAAGGACGTGTTCAGTGGAGGTTAACACTTTATAGCAGTACCCTTTAGGCAGTCCACAACAAGCAGGGCAGACCTAAGGGGAGCCCTACTTGACTCGGAATCTGTCTAAGAGGTGCTCTGAATGGAGCACAGGCTTTGCTTGATGACCTATGTGGGAAGAAGGTGTGGTCCTGCATTGGGCAGAATTGGGGGAATGTGACAAACGTGGTGGGCGATGAAGCACACTGACTAGAGAAAGTGCAGAGTGGAGACAGCCTTTGTAGCTGGGCAATTCACCCACTGTTTCCCTCACCAGTTCCCATCATACAACGAAGTATGAATAGATAGATTGACAATGCTTTTGGTGGAAATCAACGAGTAATGCCATAAGCAAGTAAGTAAGTTGTGTTAGAGTGCAAAAAAAAACCTGCCTTGGGATCCCTTTTGGAGCCAAGCTATTGTTTCACAGTAAGGAACCATTTTTGTCATGCTATAGTCAAGGTCTAAACAACATGACCATGGGCTCTGGTCAATGAGTGTCTACTATGGCCCAGCCAGTTATATCAAGACTGTGGAAGGCTGGGCGTGGTGGCTCACGCCTGTAATGCCAGCACTTTGGGAGGCCAAGGCAGGTGGATTGCCTGAGGTCAGGAGTTTGAGACTAGTTTGTCCCATCTCTACTAAAATACACAAAAATCAGCAGGGCATGGTGAAGTGCGCCTGTAATCCCAGCTACTCGGGAGGCTGAGGCAGGGGAATTGCTTGAACCAGGGAGGTGAAGGTTGCAGTAAGCTGAGATCCCACCACTGTACTGCAGCCTGGGTGACAGCGAGACTCCGTCTCAAAAAAAAAAAAAAAAAGACTGTGGATATATCAGTCATGAACTCAATTCAGAACAAGCAAGAGTCCACTCTGAGTCCAAGTGAGCCTGAAGGCTTCATGGAAGAGGGGAACTGAGTGATTTACACACAGAATGACAGTGACATAAAGGCAAATGACTATGTTTTGATTCCTTTAGTCTCTCTTGTCTTAATCTTATGCCAGATTTAAACAGTGTTTCTTAAAAACATTTTAGGCTGGGCGCGGTGTAATGTATTACATGCCTGTAATACCAGCACTTTGGGAGGTCGAGGCGGGCAGATCACCTGAGGTCAGGAGTTCGAGACCAGCCTGACCAACTTGGAGAAACCCTGTCTCTACTAAAAATACAGAATTAGCCAGGTGTGGTTGCACATGCCTGTAATCCCAGCTCCTAGGGAGGCTGAGGCAGGAGAATCACTTGAACCTGGGAGGCAGAGTTTGCGGTGAGCTGAGATCACACCATTGCATTCCAGCCTGGGCAACAAGAGCAAAACTCTGTCTCAAAAAAAAAAAAAAAAAAGTTTTGGCCAGGTGTGATGGCTCACGCCTGTAATCCCATCACTTTGGGAGACTGAGGCGGGAGGCTCACTTGAGCCCAGAAGTTTTGAGGCCAGCCTGGGCAAGATGGTGAGAACCCATCTCTACAAAAAGAAAAGAATTAGCTGGGGATGGTGGCACATGCCTGTAGTCCCAGCTACTTAGGAGACTGAGGTGGGAGGATCACTTGAGCCCAGGAGTTCATGGCTGAAGGAGTTCAACGCTGAAGTGAGCTATGTTCATGCCACTGTACTCCAGCCTGGGTGACACAGACCCTGTCTCTATTAAAAAAAAAAAAAATTCTACACAAAGTTATGGCAGAGTACAGTGAATAGCTTGAAGCTCTCCAAATGTAAACACTTCTTTAGAATCTCATATTGACTACAAAAGGTCACCTTTACTTAATATTCTGGTTTTAATATGAAAAGTGTTCTAAAATTACTTCTCATCAAGGAGAAAAAAAATGCTTCTAGTATATCAATACAAAAGATGAATCAGATTTACCCATTTCTGGAAGTAGGCTGAATTTTCTGATACTGCATGTTAGGTTGTATTCTAAGCAAATTTTACTTTGTCTTTTGTATCATAATATTTTTACTACTCTGTTAGCTAAGGTAACTGCTAAGAAGTGAGGCCTAGGCCAGGCGCGGTGGCTCACGCCTGTAATCCCAGCACTTTGGGAGGCTGAGGCGGGCGGATCACCTGATGTCAGGAGATCCAGAGCAGCCTGACCAACGTGGAGAAACCCCATCTCTACTAAATAATACAAAATTAGCCAGGTGTGGTGGTGCATGCCTGTAATCCCAGTTACTCGGGAGGCTAAGGCAGGAGAATTGCTTCAGCCTAGGAGGCGGAGGTTGTGGTGAGCCGAGATTGTGCCATTGCACTCCAGCTTGGGCAACAAAAGCAAAACTCCGTCTCACACACAAAAAAATAAAATAAAATAAAAAGAAGTGAGGTCTAGATGAATTTCCAAGAAGTGCCCAGTAATTTCATTCAGGCC